AAACTTGAAGTGATTACTAAATATTGTGACTTAGAAGTCAAAGTTGTGCCTGTGAAACAGTAATCAACAATATGAGTATTACCCCACTAAAATTGGAGTCTAGATGTTATTGTGTGTATCATTTTATATAGAGGTGATTGTGGCATGTATGTCATCATTTGCCTTAAATAGTGGAACAATATTGTACAAAAAAAATGGGGCAGTCATACCATGCCTTTATTAATAACGGTCAATTGAAAGAGTGATAGATAAAAGTTCTAAGCATCATAGTTTTATTCTTATTTTCTGTTTGTTCGTTGACTTGCTCTAATTGTATAGGAATAATTGAGGAAAATGAGATTTAAGCTGTTGTATTAGCTAATGACTCATCTATACAATAAAGTAGTTTCACAAGTGCTGATATCTATTTCAAATTTCAGGTATGGATGAGTAAAAAGATTGAAAATATAGATTGGACAAATGTGATATCTATTTTCACAAGTGGTTATATGTATGACATAATTTCTAACTTCATGTAGTTTAGTGTTTTCTATTGCTCAATGTATGCATTCCCAACTATTGTTTCTTAGTTTTTCAATTAAGATTAATAATATTCCTATGTCATAATAGTAATTTCATTAGTGTCATTTTTTTAAAGTGGTTTGCATATATATTAACAAGCATTATAATGCAAAAATGACTTAGTTCATATTTGAAGTGACTTTAGTAAGTTTTCAAGTGACTATTGTATTTTATGAGTTCCCTTAAAAAATTTTAAAAGTGAATTTTAGTTTCATACTAGAAACAATTCATTCCCAACTATTATTCTTAAAGTTTTCCAACTAAGAATAATAATATTTTCATGCCATGATAGTAATTATAGCAGTGTCATATTTTTATTTTTCAAGTAGTTTTCTAATATATTAACAAATATAAAAATTCACAAGTGATTATATTCATATTCAGAAGTGATTTTAGATAATTTTTAAGTGACTATTATATATTCACAACTGCGCTTTAAAGGTTTCAAAAGTGAATTTTTGTTTTATATGAGGAAACAATCTATTCCCAACTATTATTTATTGGTTTCTCAACTAAGAGTAACAATATTCTCATACAATGATAGAAATTTTAGCAGTATCATTTCCTTAATTTTTAAGTAATCTACCTATATATTAATAAGCATAGAAATTTATAAGTAATTAGGTTTATATTCAGAAATAATTTTAGTAAATTTTTAAGTAACTATGGCATATTCACAAGTACCCTTGAAAAGTCTCAAAAGTGAATTATAGTTTTATATTAGGAAACAATTCATTCCCAATTAGTTTTTCAACTGAGATTAACAATATTCTCATCTCATTATAGTAATTTCAATAGTATCATGTTATCAAAGTAATTACAATTGCACATACTTAAACATGAAATAGACATATCAGCATTACATTACACTGATTTCAATACATATATACTATATTTGCATCCATTTATATATAAAAACATCCCTTCCTACTATCTACCAAAGTGGTAATTATGTAGTATACTTTCCAAAGAACTACTAAAACTGCAAACCTATTTATATAATTTATGCCTACCACAACTACAAAAAATACATATAGTGTGGATTTTTGTATAAAAAGTCATTCAGGACCAAAACACACTCTAGTAAATAAAAACTAGATATATTTTAATTTCAAATCAATTAATATGTATTTGGTTTTCACCCCATTTCACTCCTTACATTGGATTGGAATTCTTATATCTATTCTTGATATGTTTAGGTTGATTACATCTCGAGCAATAATACACTTTTTTGTTTTGATTCACTTGATGTGTGGTAGTCATGGGCAACTTTTAGTTACTGGTGGTTTCAAAAAAGTATTGTTTTTATAATTTTGATAATGTAGCTCGCTTACTCGAGGCATGTCAATGGTTTCTACTGAAATCATTGCGGAGCTATAATTTTGTTGTTGTGCACAATTGGCATACTCTGAAGCACGGATATGTGCAAAATCATAGCATGTTCGTGTCAGATATGTGTTCAACATGGACAAGCGTTTATGACGCTAAAATGGCACGTCTAATTTTATAGTTTTAGGCAAACACAGGCTAAGACAAAACTTAGAATTTTTACCTCCTTTTTTCTCATTCCCACTTCTAAAAATCAAATGCCCTAAGCTTCCCAGCTCTAGTCGATCCTTTTCCTCACTCCCTCATCGTCCTTCTTCAATTTGAGGATCGAATCTAAGTCGTCCTTCTTCATCTTCTTCACCGAATCATTCTGGACTTCTGATCCAAATTTGAGTCATCCTTCTTCATCTTCTTCTTTAATTTGAGGTTCGAATCTGAATTAGTCATAGAGACACAGATTCACGGTGCTTCTGGTAAGTTCATCTTCATCTCTGAGTAGTTTTGGACTTCTGGCTCTAGGCATTGAATTTTTTTTTTTGGGGCCAATCTATGGGTATTGCCGTATTGCTGAATGTATTGCTTTTTTTTATTTTTACCAATCTATGGATATTGCTAAATCCTTTAAGCCTTCAACTTATCAATTTTTTAAACATTCCTTGATGAATAGATTTTTTATGTGATGTGCCTGAGCCACCTTAAGCTTAGTCAATGTTTCCTTATTTTCATTACCTCCCAAATTACGTTTTTGTGGATAGATTATTTTGTTGAGTTAAACATTGATTTGTTTTAAATTTTTATTAGCTCTCTTCATGTTAAAATTACAAAAAATTGTTTACAATTTTTCAATATAAATTTTTCAATGAAAAGAGAACTTATAGGAGAAAGTAATGGTGTCAATGAAGATGGAGAATATTAAAATTAATTTAAGTTAATCATTATTTTTTTTCATTTAGTAGTGCTTAAATGCTTAATTGTTTATTGTATTGTATTTTGTGATAGCATTGGACATCTTAAAATTGTACTTTTGGACATTTAAATATTTAATATTTAATTATTTATATTATTTTACCCATATGCTAAAATTTTTAAAAATTGCCGTGTCCGCGTATCATATAGTATCGTATTGTACCCGATACTGGTACTTGTATTGGTGCTTCTTAAATGGTATATCATTCTTCAACATATAAATATCTATTACCATGAACAAATTTTATTACTGCATGTGTATGTGTGTTAGGAATTCCTATCATATGTCATTCTTGACAAGAGCATTCTTGCAATATCAAATTCATTCTCAAATCCTTATTTCCTATCTTCACCAGTATCATGTTCATACGATAATGCTCAACCACCATAATTCCATGTCAATCCTTTCCATGCCTTAGTTACTTTTCATAAACTCAGAGCTATAGTTTTCCTTAACATAATGATAACAGAAAATATGTTGATTACCATCAAATATTACATGCATTACACCAATAATAGAATTATGCCTATTTGACACTATTGTCAATTGAACTTGGTGTGTGATCTCTCTCATATTTTTAAGAAACCAAGCCCAATTATCATGTATTTCTCCACCGATTATTACATAAGTCAAAGGAAATAAGTCATTATTTGCATCAATTATTGAAGTTGCCAACAAAGTTCCTTTATATGAACTACTTAAATGACTTCTATCAATAAACAAAATTGGTTGAGAACCTTAGAAAAATCCCTAAAGACAACATCCATATGCAATAAAAATATGTCAAATGTGTTATTTTTTTTATGAAACCCACTTTGCGAATATATCTGGGTCTATCTCCTTCAATTTCTCACAAAAACCATAGGATCAACATGTATGATTGTTGTGAAAGCCCATGTATTTTCTCCAATGCTCTATCTTTTTCCCTCCAAGCTTGCTAATATGTGAGGTTCAAGCCATACTCTCTATAGAGGTCTTGTATGTTCTAATTTGGAATTTTCTCCACATTACCCCTTATGGCATCAATAATGATTGATGATGTTAGTCTTGAGCTGGCCTTTCAATTTAATAAGAGGTTGTCCTGAGAAGAATATATGTGTTCATTGTGAAAATTTTACACATAGTATACGAGTTGTCCTACCAAAAGCATAAGCTGTTATCTTCTATTTACAACCATTAATATTATATTTGACAATCATCTTCTCACATTTTGTTTTTCTAAATGCAATTGCATCATGAAAAGTCAGTCTAACACTTATAAAAAAATCTTTCTATTTTATTGAATTAACCTTAGAGAGTGGTGCAAGAACATGCAGTGTTAAACATGGCAAAGAGGGAGATATACATTCAAGATCTTGTCTAAAAGGAGATCCTAACAGTGATTGTGTTAAAAAAATCCTCCATCCTACATTCTTAATTATGCATAGGTCAACAAAAATAGTGATTCAACTAATTTATATCACTAATAACCAAGAACAATTACTTACTTCATTGAATAATCCATTGCTCTATCTATAATTTCATTATTATTTCTTTTAACATATACATGTGCACATGTATCATTATACTTTATAAAATGTTATGCTCTTTCACAATTATTCATATGGGAATTAAACATGGAGGAACAAGAAGCAACATATAATTTTATTACTTTGCAATTATCCATCTAATAATCCTAACTATGACTTCAACAATTCAACGTTCATGTTATATTTTTTAACATTAGCTCACTTTTTATCACGGAAAAGCAAAATTCAAATATTGAGCTACAAGCATGACAATAAGAAAGAAACAACATAGTTTTTTTACTCAATTTTTTCTAACATTATCTTTTTTGAAATCACAATGCTCTCATATTTTCCTTTATATGTACATATATAATATAATCATCAACAAGATTGCATTTTTGCTAACTATACAGGAGAAAACAACATATTATGACATAAAATGGAGCATGCATTTTTGATATAGCATAGAAAATCACGAAGTTTTGATAAAAAAGATAGAGAAGAGAGAGAAATATAAACTCAAGAAAAAAGAACAATGCATATACCTACAGATTACAAGATGTAACACACCAAATTTTTTTTTTTTTTAAATAATTTAACTCAACCATAGTTGGGTTACAGCCACCCAACACATTTTTATATCAATAATTTTGATATAAAATATTTTATAATTGGCTTCAACTCACACACTATAACATTTCAGATAAATTTTTACCTCCCACATGCCATTAGGCTAAATCACATTTGTCCATCCTTATACTCCCAACAAGTAAACTAAATTACATTTGTCCATCCTTATACTCCCAACAAGTAAAATAAGCAATTTAATCAATTTTCAACACAAGCCAGTTATTTGACCTTATAATCATGCCATTTTAACCAATCCAAAGTAAACCAAATATTAAAATTACAGTCATCCAAATTGTACCAAAAATAGAAATAGTTTGAAAGGCATGATTACATTTATATATTCATATAATTGACAATAAACATAAAAAAGTCCTAATATTGGCAATATAACACATTATAAATCATAAATTAAATATCCAAAAGAGACAGTGGATCTATACCACTAAGCCTCTGGGACTCCTCTACGTGTCACTCGTGGCTCTTCTCCTGAAAATTGTTAACCACATAATGAGACTCAAAAGTCCCAGTAACCAAAGCCAATTTATGATAGTGTATACAAACAGTTAAGTGTGTGCTTACTAAGTGAGAATTAAAAATAATATAATTCCAACAAATATAAGAAATATTATAATAAACACAAACAACCATCCTTATATCCCTCCATTAACCTCGAGCCGTAGCCCTCACTCGGTGCTAAATTACCCGGCCAAAGGTAGATTAGCCCGAGCCCTTACAAACCACCTATTGAGCTCCAATAGGGGCATACCACGTGGCACATAAATACAACAATAATAGCAAGTCTCCCAACACCTCCCACAATAATTAAACAAATTCATAATAATATTGCACAATTATACAATATTACAAAATTTATAATTTTCTCAATAATCACCCAATTAACAAGAAGTAACACTAATCACAAATTAAAAGCATGGTTACCTTGTGGCTTTTTCAATAAATTATTCCTTAAAATTTCTCTCTCTCCACAATCTTCACCAGTAATACAATCTACAAATAACATATTATTTATAAATATTAGTTTCAATTTTTGAAACTAATAAAATAATTCTAATAATAGAATTAAAAATATAACATAATTTCTAATCTCAATCTTAATACAAATCTATAGTTAATACTATTAAGTAAAATTTTTAACTCCTCTTTTAATTATCAATAAACATTAATAATCTAAAAATCAAATTTTAAACTAATTTCTATTATCAAAATTTTCTTTTTATTTTATAAATTCGTACCTAAAATACCCAAAAATTAAAAATTGAGTCTCTAGTTTAGAATCATAATCCTATAACCATAATAATTCATTTCTCATCCCAAATAATCATCTAAACCTCAATAAATCAACATATATTTTCAGATCTAGTTTAGAATTTGATCCATAAGCCACAGATTCAAAGATCATCAATAAATTTATACTCTAAAACATTTATTATACTACTGACAACCTCAAAAATCATATTTATTCAACATAAATTCATCCCTCTTCCAGATCTTAAATTTTCTACCACTACAAACTCAGAAACTAAATAAGAAGGATGACTAAGAAAAATTTTTAGAACACTTACTTAGTCTTGAAAAGCTTAAAATCACACCCTAAATATCCTATTAAAAACTCTTACCTTAAAAATTTAGATATTTCGCACCGGCAACTCACTTCTCTCCGCCTCAGCTCGCGCGCAGAATGAATGAGGAAATGAAGGAAGGTGAGTTTTTATAAAAATTCAGTGGGTCCCACACATTTTTTTTTTATTATTATTTCTTCTTCTCTCTCTTCCCCCCTTTTTTTTTATTATTATTTTATACTTACTATTCATGCGGTGCCGAAAGCAAATTCGTTTTCTCTTCTTCTTCCTTTTTTTTTTTGTTTTGGCATACCTTTTTCCCTTTTTTTTATTATAATAATAATTTAATAATTAATTTTTTTAATTAATTTTTTTAATAAATTTATTTTTTTTAAATTTTTTTTTTTATTTAGAATTATATCCTAAATTAGATTTAATAATCATTTTCTACTAATTTTCTTACCTCTAAATATTATTATTATTTTTTTTAAAAAAAATTTCTATTAACCTAAATTAACTATTAAAATTTAAATTGGGATGTTACAATTCTCCCCTCCTTTTAGAAATTTTGTCCTCAAAATTTAAAATTAATAACTATTAACTACTCACTTAATCAAAAAGACGAGGATAATCACGTCGCATACTGTCCTCGGTCTCCCACGTAGCATCACCTGGAGTTGTGCTCTTCCAGATTACTTTAACCAATCTAATGGTCTTGTTTCTTAATTGCTTGTCCTTATAATCCACAATCCTTTCTGGTTCAGCTTTGAATGTTAAATTCTCCCTGAGTTCAATTTCCTCGGGTTCAATTATATGGGAAGGATCTGGTTGATACTTTTTCAGTTGTGACACATGGAATACGTTGTGTATTCCAGCAATTTGGGGTGGTAATGCTACTTGGTACGCTACTGGTCCAACTCGTTTTAAGATCTCAAAAGGCCCCATAAACCTTGGTGTCAACTTCTTAGCCTTAATAGCTCTTCCAACACCAGTTACTGGAGAGATTTTCAAAAATACATGGTCACCTACTTCAAACTCAAGCGGTCTTCTCCTCTTATCCGCATAACTCTTTTGTCTACTTTGAGCTGTGAGTAATTTTTGCTTGATTAAAGCAATCTTTTGGGTAGTCTCATCAACAATGTCTGGCCCCAAAACAGTTCTCTCACTTAATTCTGTCCAACACAGTGGCGATCTACATTTTCTTCCATACAATGCCTCATAAGGTGCCATCTGAATGCTAGAATGAAAACTATTATTGTAGGCAAATTCAGCTAATGGCAAGTGACTATCCCAATTACCTCTAAGCTCAATGGCACACGCTCTTAACATGTCTTCAAGAGTTTGTATGGTTCGTTCTGTTTGCCCATCGGTCTGGGGGTGGTAAGCAGTGCTAAAACTCAGACGAGTACCCATGGCTTCCTGTAATGACTTCCAAAAGTTTGATGTGAATCTCGGATCACGATCAGATACAATATTTGTCGGCACTCCATGCAATCTCACCACTTCTCTTATGTAGATTTCAGTTAATTTTTCGAGAGAATACTTGATATTAGTAGCCAGAAAATGAGCTGATTTGGTGAGTCGATCTACGATTACCCATATAGTGTCATGACCAGAAGATGTTCTAGGCAATCCTGTAATGAAGTCCATAGAAATGCTGTCCCATTTCCACTCTGGAATATCAAGAGACTGTAGCATCCCGGCTGGTTTCTGATGCTCAATTTTGACTTTCTGACAAGTCAAACAACGAGTTACATGTTCAGTTACATCTCTCTTCATCCTTGGCCACCACCAACCACGTCTTAAGTCATGATACATCTTAGTTGCTCCTGGGTGAATGGTATATTTACTCTGATGAGCCTCCTCAAGTAGGATATTTTTCAATCGAGTATCATTAGGCACACACACTCTACCTTTATATCTTACGACATCATCATCGGTCACATCAAAATGTTCAGCCTTTCAGCCCCAATCTCTACCCTAATCTTATTCAAATAATCATCCTTCTGTTGCGCAATTCTAATTTCTTCCCAAAAATTATTCTCAAATTCAGTAATATGTAGAGCAGCCAAACGATTTTCGACTACTTCTACATTTACTGCATGAAAACTACTCCATAATTCATGTTCTCTGACCATCATGTGAGCAGTATGTACAAGCTTCCTGCTCAGAGCGTCGGCGACTACGTTAGCTTTTCCTGGATGATACTTCAACTCAAAGTCATAATCCTTCAAAAACTCAATCCATCTGCGCTGTCTCATGTTGAGCTCCTTTTGATCAAACAAATATTTTAAACTTTTATGATCACTGAAGACCTCAAAAGAAGAACCATAAAGATAGTGCCTCCAAATCTTCAAAGCAAATACCACAGCAGCAAGCTCCAAGTCATGAGTAGGGTAATTTTCCTCATGAGGTCTCAACTGTCGAGAGGCATAAGCCACTACTCGATCCTCCTGCATCAATACACAACCTAAACCTTTCTTAGAAGCATCAGTATATAAGGTATAAGGAGCAGTTGGAACAGGTAAGGTGAGCACCGGTGTGGTGGTCAACCTCTTTTTCAGCTCCTGGAAGGCAACTTCACACTCGTTCGTCCAAATAAATGGAGCATCTTTCCTGGTCAACTTAGTCAAGGGCATTGCAATTTGTGAAAAACCCTTAATGAAACGACGATAGTAGCCTGCAAGACCCAAGAAACTCCTAATCTCTGTCACACTTCGAGGTTGCTCCCATTTCATCACTGCATCTATCTTACTAGGGTCCACTGCTACCCCTTCTTCTGAAACAACATGGCCTAAGAATTTAACTTCTTTAAGCCAAAAATCACATTTGCTCAACTTGGCATAAAGCTTGTGCTCTCTTAATATCTCCAAAACAATTTTAAGATGTCTAGCATGGTCCACCTCATCTCGAGAATAAATAAGTATGTCATCAATAAAGACTACAACAAATTCATCGAGATAAGGCCTGAAGATTCGATTCATATAATCCATGAAGACAGCTGGGGCATTTGTTAACCCAAACGGCATCACTAGGAACTCATAGTGCCCATATCTAGTCCTAAAAGCAGTTTTAGGGATATCCTCTGCTCTAACCCTCAATTGATGATACCCTGATCTTAGATCAATCTTAGAAAATACTGCTGAATTGACTAATTGGTCTAACAAATCATCAATTCGAGGTAAGGGGTACTTGTTCTTGATGGTTACCTTATTCAATTGTCTATAATCAATACACAATCTAAGGCTTCCATCTTTCTTTTTCACAAACAGTACCGGTGACCCCCATGGTGATACACTCGGTCTGATAAACCCCTTCTCTAACAACTCTTCAATTTGTCTCTTCAATTCAGCTAACTCCGATGGAGACATCCTATAGGGTGCCTTAGAAATAGGCCCCGTACCAGGTGCGAGTTCAATTGAGAACTCAACCTCTCGTTCTGGAGGCAAACCGATCACTTCAGTAGGAAAGACGTCAGGGAATTCTCTCACTACTGGAATCTGATCTACACCTTCTTCAATCTCTGCCTTGATTGAGAAGAAAATCATAAAAGCTTGACAGCCCTTTCTTATACACTGTTCTACTTGAGCTGCAGACAACAACATAGGACTTTGGGACTCTACAGGGGTTACAGTAAGAGCTGAGAGTGACACACTCTTTTTCTGACAATCAAGTACAGCTCCATTTGCAGACAACCAATCCATCCCCACAATAACATCAATCCCAGACAAAGACAAACAAATGAGGTCTATGGTGGTCTTTCGACCCTCATACTCAACCTCTACATTTAGACATGCCTTAGCAGTCCTTACAGTCAAACCAGCAGGAGTAGAAATCTTCACATCAAAAGGTAAGGTACACACAGGCAATTTACATCTTTTCATACATTCATCAGACACAAAAGAGTGTGTAGCACCCGAATCAAACAAAGCACAAACATCATTATCAAGGATTCGGATTATACCTCGGATAGCATTAGGGTTGTTAGCAGCCTCTGGCCCAGAGAGGGCATACACTCGTGCTGGTACTGTAGGTCTCTGATCATTACCCCTATTTTGGTTTTGATAGCAGAATCTAGCAATATGACCAGGCTTCTGACAGATGTAACAAACCCAACAATCACCAGAATGAAACTTCCCACACTTACTGCATGCTTGATTACTAGCAGCACTAGGAGTAGGATTAAAGGTAGCTGGGCTCCTATAGGACCCTTGACTTCCACTCTGATTCCCTCTGTAGCTCTGGCCCTTATGATAGTAGCCCTTCTTCTTCTGATTTCTAAAACCTCCAAAGATTTGACTGCTCCTCTTCTCTACTCCACCAATGGGTCGGGTGTGGATAGGGGGCTTCCCATGAGGTTCTTTCCTCCTCTCTCTATCAGCTTCTAATCTAGCCTCTCTCTTCCTCCGAGAAACTATTCGAAGCTTATTGCACATCTCACTGAATGTCTTGATCTCAAAAGGGGCTAACTGTTCCCTTAGATCAGGCCTCGCCTTCTCTAGTAATCGTTCAGCCATCCACTCCGTGTCTTCATGTTTCTGGAGGTAAGTAGAGTATTTAGATAATTCTGAGAATTGTTCAATAAATTCATCCTCATCTAAATCACCCTGACGGAATGCATGAAACTCAGCCTCCTTTTCTGCTCTCAGTGCAGTAGGAAAATAATTCTCGAACAATATGGCTTTAAAATCTTCCCAAGTAAGAGAGGAATCATCCTTCGGTCCTGATGTTTCCCACCATTTCTTAGCACTCTTCTGTAGTAGGAATATTGCCAGCTGCACCTTTTGATTAGAAGTGCACACAACCATACGAAAAATACTCTCCAATTGATCTATCCATTCTTCAACTACCGCCGGCTTAAGATTCCCATCGAAAGTAGGAGGATTAAACTTACGAAAAGTACTCCAGATCTTTGTGATCGTGGATGTCTGTTGCTCAGAGTGGAGACTCACATTCTTCGGACTAGTCTCATGGTGAGAATAGGGAGGTAAGCCTTCATCAGCAGATTGGCTCGCATTGAATACCTTGGTATGGCTTCCTTCTTGTTGGCCATTTCCCTCTCGGTTATCATTCTCCTTATATTGTCTTAAAGCGGCCAACTCTTCTTCTTGTCTCTTCATACGGTCACTAAGATTATATAGTAGATCCATCATTTGCCTCATAGTTGGCTCATCCTGCCTTAGTTGTGACTGTATGGGCTCGCCCTGCCCAATTTGTTGCTGTGTGGGCTCCGGTTGTGGCAGTGAAGGTATGTCATTTCCTATTGGCTCTATAGAATCACCGGTAATTTCGCCACCTCTCCTAGTTTTGGACACCATCTCTCCCCTCCTAAAGGATGGAAGTCACATAATTAAATTAACACTAATCTCAAGACAAGAAAAATAATGGAGAAGTATTATGATTTACTAATGTATATTGCCAATAAACTAGGTTAATGTATAACAATTTCATAATTTATAAGAATTTGAAACATGTAGCTCTGATACCAAAATTTGTAACACACCAAATTTTTTTTTTTTAAATAATTTAACTCAACCATAGTTGGGTTACAGCCACCCAACACATTTTTATATCAATAATTTTGATATAAAATATTTTATAATTGGCTTCAACTCACACACTATAACATTTCAGATAAATTTTTACCTCCCACATGCCATTAGGCTAAATCACATTTGTCCATCCTTATACTCCCAACAAGTAAACTAAATCACATTTGTCCATCCTTATACTCCCAACAAGTAAAATAAGCAATTTAATCAATTTTCAACACAAGCCAGTTATTTGACCTTATAATCATGCCATTTTAACCAATCCAAAGTAAACCAAATATTAAAATTACAGTCATCCAAATTGTACCAAAAATAGAAATAGTTTGAAAGGCATGATTACATTTATATATTCATATAATTGACAATAAACATAAAAAAGTCCTAATATTGGCAATATAACACATTATAAATCATAAATTAAATATCCAAAAGAGACAGTGGATCTATACCACTAAGCCTCTGGGACTCCTCTACGTGTCACTCGTGGCTCTTCTCCTGAAAATTGTTAACCACATAATGAGACTCAAAAGTCCCAGTAACCAAAGCCAATTTATGATAGTGTATACAAACAGTTAAGTGTGTGCTTACTAAGTGAGAATTAAAAATAATATAATTCCAACAAATATAAGAAATATTATAATAAACACAAACAACCATCCTTATATCCCTCCATTAACCTCGAGCCGTAGCCCTCACTCGGTGCTAAATTACCCGGCCAAAGGTAGATTAGCCCGAGCCCTTACAAACCACCTATTGAGCTCCAATAGGGGCATACCACGTGGCACATAAATACAACAATAATAGCAAGTCTCCCAACACCTCCCACAATAATTAAACAAATTCATAATAATATTGCACAATTATACAATATTACAAAATTCATAATTTTCTCAATAATCACCCAATTAACAAGAAGTAACACTAATCACAAATTAAAAGCATGGTTACCTTGTGGCTTTTTCAATAAATTATTCCTTAAAATTTCTCTCTCTCCACAATCTTCACCAGTAATACAATCTACAAATAACATATTATTTATAAATATTAGTTTCAATTTTTGAAACTAATAAAATAATTCTAATAATAGAATTAAAAATATAACATAATTTCTAATCTCAATCTTAATACAAATCTATAGTTAATACTATTAAGTAAAATTTTTAACTCCTCTTTTAATTATCAATAAACATTAATAATCTAAAAATCAAATTTTAAACTAATTTCTATTATCAAAATTTTCTTTTTATTTTATAAATTCGTACCTAAAATACCCAAAAATTAAAAATTGAGTCTCTAGCTTAGAATCATAATCCTATAACCATAATAATTCATTTCTCATCCCAAATAATCATCTAAACCTCAATAAATCAACATATATTTTCAGATCTAGTTTAGAATTTGATCCATAAGCCACAGATTCAAAGATCATCAATAAATTTATACTCTAAAACATTTATTATACTACTGACAACCTCAAAAATCATATTTATTCAACATAAATTCATCCCTCTTCCAGATCTTAAATTTTCTACCACTACAAACTCAGAAACTAAATAAGAAGGATGACTAAGAAAAATTTTTAGAACACTTACTTAGTCTTGAAAAGCTTAAAATCACACCCTAAATATCCTATTAAAAACTCTTACCTTAAAAATTTAGATATTTCGCACCGGCAACTCGCTTCTCTCCGCCTCAGCTCGCGCGCAGAATGAATGAGGAAATGAAGGAAGGTGAGTTTTTATAAAAATTCAGTGGGTCCCACACATTTTTTTTATTATTATTTCTTCTTCTCTCTCTTCCCCCCTTTTTTTTATTATTATTTTATACTTACTATTCATGCGGTGCCGAAAGCAAATTCGTTTTCTCTTCTTCTTCCTTTTTTTTTTTTTGTTTTGGCATACCTTTTTCCCTTTTTTTTATTATAATAATAATTTAATAATTAATTTTTTTTAATTAATTTTTTTTAATAAATTTATTTTTTTTAAATTTTTTTTTATTTAGAATTATATCCTAAATTAGATTTAATAATCATTTTCTACTAATTTTCTTACCTCTAAATATTATTATTATTTTTTTTTAAAAAAAAAATTTCTATTAACCTAAATTAACTATTAAAATTTAAATTGGGATGTTACACAAGATGACCGCTTGGATAACAATCTACTTCATTGAACACATGATTGAAGGTGTAATAAGTGCATATTTTATTAATAAATAGGTATATATTTTATAGACTATATTTATTAATATTTTATACCTATTTAATTGATATTTAAATTTTTTTATCATTAAATTATAAGATAAAAAGAAATTTTGTTGCAGAATAGATTGAAATTTATCCTTTTTTTATATTTTTTAGGGAAGAAAGTAAATCAAATTAAAGGAAATTAGGGAAAGAAGGGGAAAAGATAGAAAAGATAAAACAAAACAAAAGTTTGTGGGTCCCACGCCATAGGATTGAAGATCTTAGATATTGATTTGAATTCTGATGGACAGAGGAGCTACGTGATTTACGCGCATGAGAGAGAAGTTATTTTGGAAATTGGAAAAATAATATTTTAATATTTTAAAATGATTAGGAGATTTTATGTGTTGAATATTATAAACAAAGGCTTTTAAAATTGTTCAAGGGGAACCAACTTTATATCTAATAACCCGTTTGGTTCAAAAAATTAAAGAGAATGTAATATAATGTTAAGAAATGGAATATAATGTAATAAGAATTACATGTATTTATTTGGTATGTTATATGAAAAAAAGTATTTTGATATAAAATATGGTTGTAATGGGAATTATATAGATTTATTGATGTAATACTCTTTACAGTATATGATATAATCTCCTTTACGTTACCTAATACCAACCAAACAGTTGAAATCATGTAATGTATCAGGATTACAGGTAATCTTCCTTGCACTGCATCGAACCAAACAAGCTATAAGAGTTAGGAGGTAAAATACAAGTTTAGAGGAGTTCTTTTGAGTTGAAAGTTTTTCCTTTTCATTACTCTTCTTATTTTCTTCTATATTTCCTATTGAAATATTAATTCAATGAGTTATTACTAAATCTCAGTTAGGGTAGAGAGCAATTTGAATATGATGAAATTTGCTCTTTTATTTAGTTTTTTTTTTGTTGAACTTAATGTATTGTCTATGAGATTTTAATGTCTATTTATATTGATCTCTCTTATTTTAATTACTCTTTATATAGACGGTCAATATATAAATTATTTATGAATGATTTTATGAATTGAAAGGAGAAAAACTTACATAAACCTAAAGAGATAGATACAGTTACGGGAATGAAATCAAGTAAAAGCAAAACTATAAATAAATAAAATAAAAAAATGAATAACATTCGATAAGTAAACGAACAACATACAATATAAGAACGAACAAATCGTCTATATTGTTCATTTAAATAAGATTAATTTTATTATTTCTTTCATAAATTCAAACAAAAATCTGTACAAGTCCTATAGTAAAATTTCATAAATTCAGGAGTCCTCTTTTTCATTATTTTTGGTCAAGAGTCCCTCACTGAAATTTTTCCAAAAAAATATGATAAAATGCAATATAAAAAAGGGTAAAAACATAATATTTGATTTTGTGTAATTTGGATCAACGTTTATATATATATATATATTACCAGGGAAGTACAACCTTCGAAGTTGATGTCAAGTCTGGATAAAATCTCTATTGTTACTAAACATTACTCTTGCATTGGCAACACGTTATTTGCAGAGACATCCATTAAAATTGACTATAATTTTAAGGATTACTTTCTTAATGAAAAAACCTATCATAAACACCTTTTAGTGAATTAATCACCTAATTGATTCGGTTGATTAGACAAACTAATTATTCTATGAACAATTTTCAGCCCATGTTCAAGCTAGGAAAATTCAATCAACCTAGTAGGTTAAATTAGTTGGCTTGAGTTAATTTTATTTTTTATTTTTTTAATTTTTTAAATATTGAACTCTAATTCAACTTTAAATCCCTTAATTAATATTTTTAATATTGTTTTATTATATTTTTTTTCTCATAATTGAAAGCTATCCTATTTGATGTATGGTGGAGCACTAATAATTGTATAAAATATGCATAAGATTTTATGGACAAATTTTACATTTACTTGAGAATTAAGAAGAATTTTATTTAAATATTATTGTTTTTCATAGTCAGATATGAATATTTTTATATATTTAAATTAAAATATATTATTTTAATCACAACTAAGCTGATTCTGATTTCATCACTTAGTTATATTACAAACATTTAAACTATTGTTTTGACTTATTTAATAACTAATCCGATTTTTAGTAAATTGGTAAAGTTAACTTTAAGGAAAAAAATATGTTAGAGAGAGAGAGAGAGAGAGTGAGAGAGAGAGAGAGCAATCAAATTAAAGCCTCTGTTATTACTAAATATTACTCTTGCATTCGCAACACGTTGTCTGCAGAGGCGTTGATTAAAATTGACTATAATTTTAAGGATTGATTTCTTAATGAAAAAGCCTATCATAAACACCACTGTTGTAAAACTAGACTGGCTCGACCAAGTTAACCCGTGAATCAGAGAACTAATTACCTAGCTAGTTCGGTTGATTGGACAAACTGGTTGCTCTATGACCATGTTTTAGCCCACCTTCAAGTCAAGAAAATTTAGTCAATTTAACAGGTTAAATTGGTTTACTTGAGTTAATTTTATTAGTTTTTATTTTTTTCTTTTTCCTTTTCTAAATATTGAACTCTAAATCAACTTTAAATCCCTTAATTAATTCTTTAATGTTTTTGTATTTTATTTTTTTATTTTTCATATGTATCCTCCAATTTGGAACCATTATATTTAAGGTATAGTCAAGTATTAAATATGAATTAATTTTTTTGGCAAAGATTTAATGTTATTATATTTTATTATTTTTGGAAACTCATAACTAATATTTGTATAAAACATGTATAAGATTTTATGGGTGAATTTTACATTTACTTGAGAATTAAGAACAATTTTACTTAAATATTACTGTTTTTTATGGTCATGTATGAATATTTTTATATATTTATATTAAAATATATTATTTTGATTATGATCAATCTGATTTTGGGTTGATCACTATTTAGACTATTAATTTTTAAATTATTTTTAACTTATTTAATAATCAGTTTTATTTTTAGTAAATTGATAAAGTCAACTTCAAGGGTTTGGCCTAAAAAAAAAAGGGAAAAAATGAGTTAAAAAAAAGAGAGAGAGAGAGGGAGAGAGAACCTAAATTGAAGATCCATATGGACGGTTTTGATGGGGGGATGGTGATAGAGACGGGAGGCCAGAAGAGGAGGGGAAGGGGTTTGGTAGGGCCCACAGCGAAGGAAGCGGAAACTGCCTCTTTGACGGCTTTTCCGTGGACGCAAGCCCTCTCTATTGCTTTTGTCTTTTTTATTCATTCCGATGTGACTCCTCTCAATTTATCTCCATCCACACACAATTGTTTTTATTTTTTTGATTTCACCTCAAACTATCAATCTTCATCAATCTACAATCTGAAGCCAAAGCCAGATAAAATACAGGTCTATTTTGTGGAAAAATTGGGGAGAAGGACCTTAAGATTCAAATAATTAGGCAAAAGTCACAAACTCCTATAATCCTATTAAAATATTATGATCCTTTAGCGTCAGCATCTCTCTTTTTCTTTTTTTCTTTTTTTGAACGAATTCAGTGTCAGGATCTCTTGGTGATGCTGTATTGCTGTGTTAGGTCTTTCGGGGAAAATATACCATTTTATTTTGAAAAACTTACTTGTCTGGTTAATTTTCATAATAGGATGACAAAATTTTAGAAAGAAAGTAGAATTTTTTTAGTATGAAATGGTATATTTTTCCTGAAAAACGGAAGTCAGGTGTATTAGGCTCTCTAGTTAATCTTTTTTT